AGAAATTTACCTTAACAGTGTCATAACTGACTATGGTTTTCATATGAAAGAGCCTTTGTGAATAAAGACTATTTGGTCACGTTCTTTTTAACTTTAAACAAAGATGTATAGACAGAATTGTGGAATGTCTGAAAATTAACCTTTCAAGGACAGACAACAGTTGCACCCGCAAAACTAATAAAAACATTCCCTGTATCAGCAAAAGCCCTAAACAGATTTATAATTATAATAATATAATTAATGGAGATATCCTATCTCCTAGAACTGGAAGGGATCTTGAAAGGTCATTGAGTCCAGCCCCCTGCCTTCACTAGCAGGACCAAGTACTGATTTTGTCCCAGATCCCCAAGTGGCCCCCTCAAGGAGTGAACTCACAACCCTGGGTTTAGCAGGCCAATGCTCAAACCACTGAGCTATCCTTCCTGCCCCCCACAAATTTATACACAAGTAACCATTTGTACATCTGAATGTCAAGTGCAGGTGGCCAATTTGTGCATATAAAAGATAAAACTTATATAAATATGTACTTCTACAGTGGCACTCATTGCACCTTCTTCTAATCAAATTAACCAGATTTTCAATGTTCGAGCATTTCCTTATTTTAGGATCATCCTTTCTAAAGGAGACAATCAATCTTTATTTTGAAACCTTAGTGACTAGCAGCTGTTAGATCATGAGTACCATATAGCTAAAGTTTAAGTTCCTATTTATTCAGACTTCAATGCATGAGATTTAGTATTCTAATACAGATAATTACTTGGCCAGATGCTTGGGTGTGATGAGGATATTTTTGTGTTGCAAATGCTTTACTGAAGGCTCAGTGTTTAACTTATTCACCATACTGATACAATTGAGAGGCCCCCATCCAACAGCTAGAACTCAGATGATGCAGCTTTCTCTTTTGCATTCTACACATACTCAAGTACATGTTCACCAAGACAGGCTCAGACCTTACTACTTTCTGGGCAGAAAAGTCAAGGACTGAGAGAGGCGCTTTCATCTGTAGTTTGTAACACCCTTGTCTTCATGAAATGGAAGGTTGGTGCAGATACAAATTTCCTGAATTTTGAACATTGTTTTCTTCCCTTGAAACAACAATGTTCTAATTCAGTGGTTGCCAAACTTGTTCCGCTGCTTGTGCAGGGAAAGCCCCTGGTGGGCCGGGCTGTTTACCTGCCACGTCTGCAGGTTTGGCCAATCACCGCTCCCAGTGGCCGCAGTTCGCTGATCCAGATAAATGGCCCCCTCAAAGATTGAGCTCACAACCCTGGGTTTAGCAGGCTAATGCTCAAACCACTGAGCTATCCCTCCTCCTATATGGCAGGGGTTGCTGGAAGAGAAATGATGTTTTTATGGCTAAATCTCTAAGCGGGAACTTGTGAGAACTAGGTTGCATCCCTGGCTCTCTACATACTTTCAATGTAATGTACGGTAAATATTTTGGAAGTAGCCACTAATTAGGTGTTTCTCATTTTCTGGATACCCAGTGTGAGCACTCACATCCAACTGAACTAAATGGGAGGTGTGAATGCTCAGCATCTCTGGGGAGAAAAGATCAGACCTTAAATGTTTTGAGTTGGGCTCCCAAAGTTAGTGTCCTCTTTTGCAAAGTTGGGCCTTAATCTTTGTGGCTCAGTTGCCTACCTGTAAAATGGGGATAACAAATGGGAATAATAATACTTCCCTACCTCTCAAAGGAATTATGAAAATAGATTTACTAATATTTGAGGAACTCAGTCTACAAAGAAGAGTGCCATAGTAAAGAATAAATTAACAAATTCTTACTCAGAGGGGTTTGGATGATGTGCAGTAAGGCCCCAATTCTGCAAGGTATCTGAAGTATATATCTAACTTTAAACACATAATTAGTTCCAGTGACTTCAGTGGGACTATTTGTACACTTGAAGTTAGACACCTGCTTCAGCACCTTGCTGAACTGCCGCCTAAATAATGAATGAAGGCATATACTGGAGGATGAAGCTAAAAAGAAAAATTGAACTGCTGCCTCATTCACTGAGCAAGGTATGTACTGTGAACTTAAAGAAGCCTTACTGAAGGTGCAGGAACAAACCATCCCGAAGTGCAGAAAGAATAGCAAATATGGCAGGTGACCAGCTTGACTTAACAGTGAAATCTTCGGTGAGCTTAAACTCAAAAAGGAAGCTTACAAGAAGTGGAAATTTGGACAGATGACTAGGGAGGAGTATTAAAAAATTGCTAGAGCATGCAGGAGTGTATTTAGGAAGGCCAAGGCACAACTGGAGTTGCAGCTAGAAAGGAACGTGAAGGGTAACAAGAAGGGTTTCTACGGGTATGTTAGCAACAAGAAGGTGCTCAGGGAAAGTGTGGGACCCTTACTGAATGAGGGAGGCAACATAGTGTCAGATGATGTGGAAAAAGCTGAAGTACTCAATGCTTTCTTTGCCTCGGTCTTCACAGACAAGGTCAGCTCCCAGACTGCTGCACTGGGCAACACAGTATGGGGAGGAGGGGAGCAGCCCTCAGTAGTGAAAGTACAGGTTAAGGACTATTTAGAAAATCTGGACGTGCACAAGTCCATGGGTCCAGATCTAATGCATCCAAGGGTGCTGAGGGAGTTGGCTAATGTGATTGCAGAGCCATTGGCCTTTATCTTTGAAACATGGATTCACCAAGAGCAAGTCATGCCTGACCAACATGATTGCCTTCTATGCTGATATAACTAGCTCTGTGGATATGGGGAAAGCAGGGGACAGGATATATCTTGACTTTAGCAAAGCTTTTGATATGATCTCCAACAGTATTCTTTACAGCAAGTTAAAGAAGTATGGATTGAATGAATAGACTATAAGGTGGATAGAAAGCTGGCTAGACTGTCGGGCTCAACAGGTAGTCATCGGTGGCTCAATGTCTAGTTGGCAGCCGGTATCAAGCGGAGTGCCCCAGGGGTCGGTCCTGGAGCCGGTTTTGTTCAACGTCTTTATTAGTGATCTGGATTATGGGATGAATTTCACCCTCAGCAAGTTTGCAGATGACACTAAACTGGGGGAGAGGTAGATAAGCTGGAGGGTAGGGACAGGGTCCAGAGTGACCTAGACAAATTGGAGGATTGGGCCAAAAGAAATCTGAGGTTCAACAATGACAAGTGCAGAGTTCTGCACTTAGGAAGAAAGAATCCCATGCACCACTACAGGCTGGGGACTGACTGGCTAAGCAGCAGTTCTACAGAAAAGGACCTGTGGATTACAGTGGACGAGAAGCTGGATATGAGTCAGCAGTGTGCCCTCATTGCCAAGAAGGCCAACGGCATATTGGGCTGTATTAGCAGGAGCATTGCCAGCAGATCAAGGGAAGTGATTATTCCCCTCTATTCGACACTGGTGAGGCCACACCTGGAGTACTGCGTCCATTTTGGTCCCCTGACTACAGAAGGGATGTGAACAAATTGGAGAGAGTCCAGCGGAGGACAACGAAAATGAATAGGGGGTTGGGGAACATGACTTACAAGCAGAGGCCGAGGGAACTGGGGTTATTTAGTCTAAAGAAAAGAAGAGTGAGGGGGGGATTTGATAGCAGCCTTCAACTACCTGAAGAGGGGTTCCAAAGAGGATGGAGCTAGGCTGTTCTCAGTGGTGGCAGATGACAGAACAAGAAGCAATGGTCTCAAGTTGCAGTGGGGGAAGTCTAGGTTGGATATTAGGAAACACTATTTCACTAGGAAGGTGGCGAAGCACTGGAATGGGTTACCTAGGGAGGTGGTGGAATCTCCATCCTTAGAGGTTTTTAAGGCCCGAAGTGACAAAGCTTTGGCTGGGATGATTTAGTTGGTGTTGGTCCTGCTTTGAGCAGGGGATTGGACTATGAGTCTATGAGTCTAAGTAGAAGTAATAAGCTTTTAACTTATGTGAACCAGCATCTAGAAAGGGAAAAGGGTAGATACTGTGCTGGAGTGGGTTACACATACAGTCTATATTTAATAGGACAGGAAAAGAAAAGTGAAGAAGGATGGGAGTAGCAGGGTGGTCCCATGATTACTCAGTAAGGCATATATATGCCTTGATAGTTTGGGTCCTGCTCTTTTTTGGAGGGGTTACATATCTTCTCCCTTTCATGGCAAAAGTGAGTTTTTAGTTGGTATTCAAATGAGGTAAAGTACATGGGTTGACAAACCAATTCAGACAGGCATTCCAAAGGAAAGGGCATTCCAAAGGTAAGCAGCCTATCAAGTGCATTCCATACATAAGCAGCCTATCAAGGGCGTCACACCTCCCCTTGGCCCCAGCTCTGGAGCTGCGGCGGCAGGGGAGACACGCTCTCCCCCAGCTCCGGAGCTGCTGTGGTGAGAGAGGGCTGGGGGGAGTCCTCTCTCCCTGGGGCAGCCCTGGGGCAGCCTGCACCCCAAACCCCTTATCACTGGCCCTAGCCCAGAGCCTGCACCCCCATCTGGAGCCCTCACCCCACCATGCCTCTGCCTCAGCTCTCTCCTACACCCTGCACCCCCAGTCAGAGACCTCCCCCTCTCTCACATGCTCTAACCCCTGCCCTGAGCCCCCTCCCACACTCCAAACCCCTCAGTCCCATCACACATCACCTCCGTATTGGTGCACATAACAAAATTCATTCTGCACACGCATGGGAAAAATTAGAGGGAAGATTAGGGACCACTGAAGTGATTAGAAAAGGCAGGTGACATGCTTGAAGCAAAAGGTAAGAAGGATGATTTTGGTAGTGGGGTGTGGATGGATGTGGCAGGGGTGGGGCACCAAGGTCAGTATTAATGAGACTGGACAGCAGATTACTATAGTTATGGCATGGACAAGCAACATGGCCACAGGCCTGAAAGGAAAGAGAGGAGTTTAGAAATAATGTGGAGGGACAAGTAATAGGATTTGGCCACAGCTTGGATGTGGGGAGAGATACAGCTTTGTACTACTAAACAGCTATATTCATCTTGGTAGGGAATGCCACCTGGTTGAAGTGTGCAGCATTGACTGTCTAAAATTAGCATCCAAATCACTTACCCCATAAATTTGTTGCACTGAAAAAACTGTCACTAGCCACCTGGTAGAAAGAAAGGGCTACATTAATTTAAAACTGTCAGTACCAAACCCACTACAAAACACAAACTCTAAAAAGTGGTAAATGTCTAAATATTCAGATAAGTTTGAAATGACTATCAACTGAAAAGGAATATATCTAATGGGTTACATGCCATCAGGTAATTGCCAATGTACTGTGTAATTCCATCAGTTTAGGCTCAGCAGTGACCCTGGCTACCTGTCTACAGGGGGCAGGTAAGGAGTTTAATGCTCCCCCCATCTCCAAAGTTAGAATGTGAGGAGAGCAGCTGCCACCACCCCCACTGCTACTCTCCATCATGCTCAGGTGAGCAAGAAGGGGCGGGGGACAGGGAGAGCCTTGCATCTGCCCCCACAATGCATCATCTAGCACAACGGAGCCTGTGCAGCGGGATATTACACCATCAAGACATCTGGTGCAACTTAGTTTTCCCCAGAACAAGAAAGCAGCAGGGGCCAGATTGGCACTCACTACCAATTTGGTTCCTGCCCTGCTCCTGGGGCAGCACGGCTACATGCTGTGCCTTGTTGGAGCTGAATATAAGTTACAGCCCAGCCCTTAATGACTTGGACATGCTCAAATCAAAAGTTAAGTAAAATTGGAGGGAAAAGTTCTTGGCCAACAACTACAATACACAATATGGCCCTGATCCTTCAAACCTTTATGCTTGGGAGTAACTATGCACGAGTACTATACAGATTGTGTGTGTATATAACCAAAAAGTTTGTGGAAAGAACTAAAGGAATAGTGACCACAGGAAAAGACAAGCTATACTGCCATTGGCTGCATTAGAAACAAGTAAATGGTTAAGCAACGTGAAGTTATCAGGTAATTAAACCACAGTGGTGACCCCGGCAAGATTTTGAAAATGCCCAACAGGGCAGGGCGGCACTAACACTGCCTGCAAACTATTGGCAGTCAGCTCTTCCTTATCACTCAAATCAAAGCATGACCATTAATGTTCCCAAATGCTGCTATTGGGCCCCAGCCTGAAGGAGAGATCTCCGTGGGGCACCAGAAGCTGGTCCATACAAGATATTACCTCCCACCCTGCCGTCCCCTCACACACTGTGCTGTTCGGCAGCAAGGCGCACGTGAGGCTGATGAGAAGACACCCAGGGCTGGATCCCAGCGAACCCCCAGCAGCGGCGGCGCCACGCCCTGGGTTCTACGGTACCCACCAGGTAGGAGCGCTTAGAAGAAGCCCTGCGCTGGGCATGCCGCGGAGGGGGCTGGCGGGCGGCTCTCCCGGGCCCGCTGGCAGGGCTGCTGCGGAGGGACTCCAGGCGGAGGCAGAGTCGCTGCTGCGGGAAAGACGCCAGAGATACCCGCTAGCCTGTGCTCCCGCCCCTTCGCGCAGCTCCTGCCGCTTGGCCCGTATGCCCCCGGCGCCGGGGGGGTGCCCAACCCCTGGCTGGCTCCCCGCCCGGCCCGGCCTCCCTCCGCGGCCCTCGTAGGGACAGCCACCGCCCCCTTCGCCCAGGGGGGCTCGCCGGCCCCGCCCCGGCTCCCCCGAGAGACCCCAGCCCTGGAGCGGCCGCTGCTGGACGCGGGGTGGCCTGGCCGGGCGCGCTGGTGCTGAAATGACCCGCGGGGGCTGCCTGCGGCTGCTGCTCTTCGCCCTGCTCGGCAGCCTGCGCTGGCCCGACGGCTTCGCCGCCGCCAAGGTGAGGGTCGGGGCGCGCGGGGGGAACCTGTCCCTGCCGCTGGGCTAGTGACTTGCTGTTTAGAGGCGGGAACAGCTGTGTGGGGGCTGGAGGTGGTGCCAGGGGGCGATATTTCACCCACCCAAATCAGTGGCTGACCCCATCTATGCACGTGTTGTAATTACGGGCCTGACGGGGGTGGGAAGGGCCAGAAGTGACAGAGAAGGTGCAGGTCATTTCGCTGTAGCTCATTTTTTGCAAGCGAAAAAGCAGCTCTTGGTTGTAGCTGTTGTTTGTGCTGAAGCAGCGCTCAGAGTGATCTGACAAAAAGTGACGGGGCCGGCGGCTGTCTGACAGCCGCTGTCATAATCTAGGATCAGAAACTTGGTTAAAACCGTGTTTCAAGTGCGCCACTCGGCAGCCCCGCTGGAGATTGTTTTCTCTTCGCCTGGTCTGCGAGCCCTTGCGATCCGACCCCGCCGCTGTGAGCCCTGTCCTTTCAACTTCTTTCTTGCAAAAACCCAACATTTTTGTCATAGGCAAAGTTACTGGTATATGCAGTGGAAAGGAATTGGTGCTGGGTACCTTTGCCACTGACGGCAATGGAAGCGTTAACTTCAGTGGCAGCAACCTGGGGCTTTTGCTTAGGAGAAGTAACCAATATAGAGCAGGTAATTAATTTGTAATTTAGAGCTTGATTCTGTAAAGCACTTCAGTACATGCTTTGCTTTAAACGTGTTTAAATGCCCTTCCTGGAGAGAGACACTTTCCTGAGTCATGGCCTTATGAAGAGAAAACATAGATGAAATCCAGCAGGATTTTTTATTTTGGGGGGGTGTATGTATCAGAATTAAACGTGTCACTGAAGTCCACCTTGATTTATGGTGAGTGAGGAATGCAGGATCTGATGTAATTATTAAAACAAAATGTTCTGTTTATCAAAATACAATGGTTTTACAGTTCAGAATTGGCATTTTATTAAAATAAAATATTGCTTCATAACACTTATAGTTCAGATACCCACACAAACATATGTGAAACATTGTTACATAAAATGCACAAGGACAGCCATGGGATAAAACTTGTAATATGTAAAACAGCCTGATGTCTAAGCACCTAAATGTCAGTATTTTATTTCAGGCTATTTCAGATACATAATACTAAATATTAAAAATAAAAAAAATAAGAGACCCAGAACAAATTTGATTGCATTAATAATCAACTCATTTCCCAAGGTTTCACAAATCATGTAATTTGTACCTGTTGAGAGACTCGGTATTATTTCTGCAATATTTGAGTAATCAACTTTCGTCACCAGAAAGACCAAGATAAGAGCCTTGATTCTGTTTCCAGTGTGGAATTTTACCTGGGCAGCCTCAATCTGGTTGCGGTACAGGACTATTTAGTTAATAATAATAATTCTTCTTCCTTTTGTGGTATATTAGTAGCTATATATCTGTCTACATGCACATGTGTGCGCGCACACACACACACACACACGCACACAGGAAAAACCATTTACCATCTACATCAACCTCAGTTTGAACTTTTTATAATATACAGTATGCCTATTTGATTCATATTTTAACACTGGTACCATCTTCATTACCCTACACTGCAATTTAGTACACAACTTTCCCTTGAGAGCAAGCTGACTAGAGGGATTTCCAATCCTCTCTGGCTGGCCATTAATCCCTGCAAATGCATCTGTTCTGACAGTAGAGCAGGAGGTAACTACTTTGTGGTTGGATGCTACTGTGTAACCCTAGGTGTAGCTCGCCAGCAACATTTCTGCTGTATGTCAAATTGTAAACTGATGAAATTAGCAATTTCTGTTGAATTTCCATATTAAATTTCTTGCATTATAGTAATCGGTTTATTTTCCCTTTTAAAAAATAGTCACAATTATCTTTTAATACTTCAATGGAGAAGTAGTAATGCTGTATAGTTGTGGTGGAATTACAAAATATTCAGCAGTCCATGATATAAATAAAAATATGTTGATTCTTTATTTTTCATTGATAGATTTAAACAGTTTCTGGTATAAAGATTCCTAGCACAAGATTGTTTAGACATTGCTGCTATCTTAAAATATTCTGGCTATTTTATTGTTAACCCATTCTGGATAAAGTATTTAAAATTAAATAAATAACTCTCAAGTGACTTTTTCTACATATTCAGTTATTTCTTCTCTGGCACAAGGAACTTGCAGACAAACTTTAACCATTTAATCAAGATGGACGTGTTTGTTTTTAAGGTAATCAAACATACTTAATAATTGCTTTAGTGAAGATCCAGCATCGCAGTTGTATTTTCCTTTTCAATACATTACACATTTTTCTGCAAACTTGTTTCAAACCTGTCGTAGGTCTGTTCAGAACTCTACTAGGTTCAGTATTTCTTTGGCAGTTCAGTTGATTTCAACTATGTTTGTGTGAGAGAAACATATAATAGATTTATTTTTTGTTTACAGCAGGGTAATTGAGATCAGGTTCCTATCCAAAGTCACCTCAATTGCTGTTCTTGTATGTGCATGCCAGTATTGTCTAAAGTGAGGAAATCAGTTCTGCATAGATATTTCCAGCTGATAACAATTTGGATCAAAAGTGAGACTCCCTAACCGAGATTATTAAAAATAATAATAATAATTTGATTTTAGTTGCTAATATCAATTGGCATTAGCTTGTTTATCAGTGAACCGTCTCCTCTTGATTGGACTGTCATTATGACAAATCCTTGTTTACACTTTAAAAGTAAAGTAAAATATTTAACTAGTGAACAATGTCCAACTACTTGTGAACATTTTGTTCTTGTAGACATAAGCTGCAAAATGTTTATAGAAGGTTTTGCAGGTTTGTTTCTTTTAGTATGTCCGTAAACAGTTTATCCAAAGATAAGAGTGAAAACTATAACGGGTGTTGGTGGTGGTGGTATTTATTTATTGTTTATATGACAATAGTGATGTTCACAGCTCTTTGCAACAAGTAGGAAGCCACAATCCCTGCCCTGAGGAGCTTGAGCTTTCTGGAATGTGTTGGGGAGTTTTCTCATTTTCTGTAATGTTGTTGTTTGCATTCTTTGCCTCAAATTTTTTTTAGGAGGTCTATGTCTGGACCCTATTGTGGTAGTAACTGTACAAAAATGTGATTAAAAAGATGGTCCCCAGATCCTAAGAATATGAAGATGATGCACAAGCTTCAGCTGGTACAGAATAAGGCAGCCCACCTTCTCCATGGCTTAGGCCTTTGTGAGCACATCAGGCCCATGTTCAAGTCCCTCCTTGTTACCTTCTGATACCAGTTCAAGGCCTTGCTACTAATTTTCAATGCAATTAGTGGATCAGTCCCCTGCTATATTAAAAACCAAATTTTGACCTATGAACCACTGTGCTCCTGTGGGACAATGCAGAACGTAAACTGTGGACAAAGCATGTGAGTGTAGGTTGACGGCATCTGGCTATGGAACAAACTTCCAGAGGAGATGAGGTGAATCCAGAGTCTGAGCATCTTTAGCAAATGCTGCAAAACCGTGCTCTTCGTAAAAGCCTTTCTACTATAAGAATTAAATTCTCAATACTGAAACCCCTGTTACCCAATAAACCTCTAAAACCCAAAAAAATCAAAACCAAATCTCCAACTGAAAGCAGTGTTTTGATCCCAAGACAAGAGAAGTGCTAGAGACTCCATGAAGTCCACTACAGATTTCACTATAGCTACCAATTTTACATGGAAGATGCTCTGATATTTTGGTAATGAGTGGCAGGATAAAACCCTAAGATAGAAAGCTTTAGAATCTGGGGGAACTGAGTGACGAATTCCTGTGGAGAATATAATAATCAATTATAAAGTCCTTAAGAATAAAACAGCTGGATTTGTAGGAGAGAGAAAAGATGATATAAAGTAATATATAAGATGCAATTTGGCAACTTGAATTGTAGAAGGTATACTTGATGGCAGACCTAGTGGAGGGTTTGAAGGGCATTAACAAAGAGAAGCAGATGTTATAGGATAGGTTCATTGAAAAGACAAATATTTTTCATTTTTTGAATGTTTTGAATAAATGGCACTCTTATGCCCTATTAATCTACTTCCATAATTTATCAAATAGTTCTAGAAGTAAATGCCAGATGTGTTATTTTTTTTAAAGTAGTTAATACAATAGTGTTATCTGCAGATATATAAATTAATTTTCAGAAAACTTAATTTGTCTTTCTAGGCTCTTGTACTTTGTTCATCATTGTGGTATATAAGTACCAGATATTTACGGCCCTAAAGATGCAGATAGGCATTTAGTGGGATTTTTCCAGAGTGTTTAGGTATCTAACATCTGTAAGTAGTCTGCAAAAGTATATGGGTCCACTATGTTTCATTCTTTGTGTCTTACTGTAACCAAAAATGTGTGTAGTTTTTTTTTCCATTGTGTTGAAGGGATTTGAGGGTCAAATTTGGCTCTCATTACTGAGTGAAACAGTAGCAGATCAGACCAGAGTCATTTGATACACCAAAGTAAGATATGAGTAGCAATCTGTACATTCAGTTTATGTACAGTATCTTTGATACCAAATTATTGCCTTAAGCATATTTTATACTGTGAAATGAAATCTCATTAATTCAGTGCATTTGTCCTTCAGAGGTCAGTTTGTGTAGAAAATCTTTTTTTAAGAATTTATTCTTCTCTGCAAGTGGAAACTGAAGCTTCTGTTGCTTAAGATTAAGCTTGGCTGGCATAGATAACCAAGTTTCCCTATTAATTCACTTGTGAAATCTCTACTTCCAGAAACATTCAGAATGATAGTACTTTATCTGCTCAGATAATACTTGAAAGTTAGAAGGCTTGTTTATAGTACTGTGAGTCCTGTACTTAATGATTAGTGCACTTGCCGCTTAATTGTTTCACAGTTAATATGCACTCTAAAATTGCACAAGAATCTAAGCAACTCATGATTTTGCTATATCAATATGACGATAGTAAGTAAACTAACTAACTAACTAAAATGTAGTATTTGTATTTGCAATAGTATATAGGAGAACCAGTTATAGACCAAAGTCCCATAGTACTAGGCACTGTGCAACATAGAACAAAAAAGATAGGCTGTACGTTCCTTGGGGCAGGGACTAAGCAAAGTATGAGTAGGTTACTTTGCATGCATTTCCATGCTAGATGCCTACAACTTCATATTAAAGCCTTACACGCTTGCATAAGAAACATAAAATCACCCCCTAGTTCCATGTGTGTGCTAGCTACATTGTGGGTTACTGTGTGGGAGGATAGCAGCCTTCTCTCCTCCCTGTGCAGATAGACTGGGAAAGGTGTGCAGTGAGTAGAAACTTTACTCAGCCCCCTAAAGTGCTTGCAGAGCAGATGCAGTAGGGAAGGTAATACACACCAGGTGAAGGGCTGATGCAGATATTTTCTCCCTGGAGTAAAGAGGTGACCAGGGACTAACTGTCATGCTTCCCATTCAGACTGTGACTAGCCTGCTTAAGACATGTTAGCTGATCCATTTGCTAAAGACAAACCAGTAACACTTCACACTGTGTATTCATAACATAATATAAAATAAATACAAAATTAATCCATTCATGGCAGATGCCAACAAAAGTTTTGTCAACAAAATACTCAACATTATTAGAGTCCAGTTCTTCTAGCTCAGAAAAATCTCTGCTTAAAA